GCACGACGAGGCGAAAATGCTCCCCATAAAGGAGCACAACACAATGCTGTGCAAGCAATTCCTAGTAGGGAGCCACAGACGTGGACACAAGAACAGACACTTGCTTGCAGAGGAGCCCTCGCCAAGGCATGCCAGAAGGCATCTTTAAGAACTGACGGACGAAGTCCAGAGGTTCATAAAGCAATCTCTGGACCGGTCAGCTTTTCGACAGACCTTGAGCGGCATTCACAGGGAGTCATAGGCACACAACTACCTGACATCGACGAGACGGGGCTTCATCTGCCTCGGGAGACTAGAACCACAATAGCCCAACTTCGCTCTGGCTACTGCAGCAGGTTAAACTCATACCTGAGCTGATTAGACGCAGATGTGCCAAATGAGTGTCCGGCATGCTGAGACACCCCACGACTCGAAACATCTCTTTGTATGCCCGGAAAACCCGACACAGCTAACGCCTTTGTCTCTGTGGACCGACCCCATTGACGCTGCACGCTTCTTGAGGCTTCCGTTAGTTGAGCTCGACGACAACGACTGCGATATTAACCGATCTGGGCGAGGTTGATGTAACCGCTACAACAACAACAGCAATAAAAAATCGTTGGTTAAGCTAGGTACGAGTAGTCGGGTTGAGTTAAAATTTTCGTGGATTTGAAGAAAATCGAACGTAATGTGGATTTAGTAATATAAGCGAAATAGTCTTAACCACAGTAGGTTAAATTTCTGAAGACTTTTTAGCAAATTTTAAATATTTCTACATGGTTTCGGGTAAAATAATTTAAAACGTTCTTATTTTCTATGGTTTTTATGAGCAAGTTATAATTCATTCGATCTTAAAAGATCTCAACATTTTCATTTTTGATTTTTAAGGTGAGCTTTATTTATTTTTGTAAACATTTTTAGATGTAAAACATTTCTAAAGGATGTCCATTTTATTAATTTTGTAATATATGAATTTGTAGTTTTTGATTCATAAACGTTTACTTGGAGATATAGAAAAAAATATGAGTATCTACTTAATTGTTATATAATCGTTTGTTTAATGTACACTTTTCAACCAAAATGGGCGCAACCGGACTTACAATATACAAACATGTAGGTACATAAATATGCATGTCTGTCTTACATGTGCTGTTTATGATATATAAATACATATTTATGCCTAAAATAAGTAACATTAACCAAACTACGATTGATGTATGTAATGCAATGTTGATCGTTTGATTGATTCATCCAATATATCTTTTTCAACAGTTGGCTATGTAATTTTATGCTAGTTACAGAAACGGATCACCCAAGATTAAGTGCTATACTGAGTAAGACAAATTTCCATGTCCGTGATGTCGTTTCGGCTCAAACAAAAATTATTGTTGTAATAAGGCAAACAGCGAATGAACGGATTTCGAGTGCATTGCGAGCAATTATGAACTGTCTTCGTAAGTTTCAAATATCTTATAATTTACATACAAACATAAGTTTTGATACATACGCATGTGTACATACAACTTACATATTTACGAGTAGATTTATTAAAAGTACAAAAACGAAATGAGCGAAAATGTATTGTCCCAAAAAACTACTTAACACTAAATTGATGCGTGGATGCTGTCGACGGTTTGTAGTCAGTGCTCTTCGGGGACTGGAGCCTGTATGTTTGCGGGTATATGACGAATAAGTGCGTTCTAACCCAACTTACGTGAAGGGAAAACCTGCTACTGTATTAAGTACCATAACCTTTTATTGGGGTAAAAACTATCGTTAACATTTCTTCCATTAAATACCAACTCACAAGCATAATAACAACCATACCCTTAATTAAGTACTAAAATTGTTTACTTCTTTTCCGTTACATTAAAAGGTATAAAGAATCGCAAAAGTGAGAATTATGGCTAAGCCAAAAGGATCTCATTCGGAACCACGGTTTTCAAAGTGAATGCTTGTCCATGTTATTTTTAAGCTTAGGCAATGAAAAATAGTGGAATATTTTAATAATCAATCAAAATCAATCGAATTTTTAGAATTTCGAGACCTTAATAAACCCTCTTTCAGTTATGGTGATTTCCTTTCTACCAAAAAATGTCCCCTTTTGATTGCCCCTTTCTCTTTTCGTGTTCGATTCTAAATTAAAGGCAAAGGGTGAGAAAATGTTGTGTTCATTTCTTAAAATGCCAGACTCGTGTAAGGCAAAAAAGACACCTTTTGTGCCCTTTGAAGCTTTGTCAGGGGAGATGGTTGCCCATGAAAATCAGATGGTTGCTTAAAACGATAATATAATGAAATGCGTGAGCTGGACAAGAGTTAGAAGGCAAAAACATGCCTTTTCAAAGGGTTGAGTGTAACATCAAACACATTTTGCACCGGGAAAGGGCAACATTTTTTAGTAAAAACGAAAACACCATTAGTTTTTTTGCAATGTGCATTATGCGAGTTAATCTATTTCTCTTTACATTTGACTAAAAATTGGAGAAAAACAACTTGTACTGCATGCAAAAATTTTCATTGAAAAAAAACACGGTCCCAAGCTCAATAAAATTTGTGTAAAACAATTGTTATAAGGCCATAAATAACAAAAATAAATAAATCAAGTATTAATTTTAAAATTGTAGCGAGAATCAGCGATTCTGAAGTCGATCAATCGATTTTTATAAATTATAAATATATAAATACTCAATATTTTAAGAGTTTTATAAACCTCGGTGAAATTATTCATTTACAAGAAACAATTTTATACTTTGTGTTTGAGCAAGTTTGCTTCCGATCAATGTGCAAAATTATACAACGAGCGATTTAATAAGAGTCCAAAACGAAAACGTATTTTATTTTCCTGATTTTAAAACAAAAATGGTGTACATAGATTGGCAAAATAGCAATATTTGTACAACTCTTCATAAAAAGCTAAAAACATAGAATAGGAAAATGTTTAAGTATTAATAGGGGTCTTCCCTTATAGGGCATTTCCACCAAGCCTTAACTGCAGTTTATGCCCATTTGAAAAACGAGATTATCACTCGAACGGGGTAATTGGTCATATTAAGTACAAGCAAACGAAAGTATGAAAGCAAAAAGTAAGAAATAAACATTGCCGATCACCCCATGTCAAAATAATTGGTACTTATCTGAGCTCTGCAGTTAAGCTTTTGGTGGAAATATGCTATTAAACTCGTAAAAGCCTCGGAAGCCTCGTAAAGCTCGTAAAAGAACTGTAAAAATTTGTATGGAGCTCTATTTACGAGCCCCTCGTAAAATTACTAGGCAAATTTGATGCGCAAACGACCTCGTAAACTTCAGTGCTTCCGAGGGGTCGAAGATTTTATACTAAAATGTATGATAAAATACTGAAAACAAATGATAAAAATAATAGATAAATAAAATTAATGAATTTCATCCACTAACTGTATTAAGATGAGTTTTCTGCTAATTCTCGCATTTTAATTATATTTTAGCTTTCATTCGAGCTGAAGGGTTGTTATGAAAAATGCTACGAAACAATAATCTATTCACAAAACCCTTTTCAACCTGTCAAACAGTCACTTTAAGCACTTATTGCACATTTGCAAAGGGGGGCATTCCCGTAACAGCCTCGTAAACTTCCGATTTTTACACAGTTTAAGACTTTACGAGTTTAAGGGAATCCCCTAAATATTGTTATATGTATAAAGAACACAAGGATAATTTGCTAAGCATCGCAAAAAAAACAGATTTAGGTTTAGTAGTGAAATAAACGCTTAGGGCCAGTTTAGCTGAAGTTTAGTTAAACTCAGTTTAGATTTGAACTAAGTTTAAACTACTCATCAGTTTTTCAGTGCGACTTCATAGTTCATAGTTTAGATTTTTGTTGGGCAACACTGTTTTTCTTTATGCAGATACAAAACTTAAGCTATTTATTTTCACTTCTGATACGATCGGGTTTAAAGTTCTGAAAGATTATAGGCGGAAATTAAAAGAATTTGTTAGGTGCTTTATGAGTTGTCCTATGCAAGTAAACTCCAACTCAAGTTGCTTTTGTTAATTTTCTTGCGCACAATTTTCATCTTAGATATAAACATTTCGCTTATTTGTATATGTGCCGCTATACAAATGAGTATGTTTTCGTGTATTTCGCAAAACAATTTAATTTTTTCCTCCTCTTTCATCTAAATTTTGGCAGCTGGCTACCAATATACAAATTAAGAGCTGATAGTTTAAACTCGGTTTAACCCAGCAGATTGGTCGTTTAAACTTAGTTTAAATTACGTTTAAATTTGACTGAATAACTGCACACTGACACTAAACGACAAACAAAGTTAAACTCGCACTGAAAAACTGGCCCTTAGCGTTACAAAAATATTTTTTTTTTGTATGAATATGTAGATATATGCGCCATTAAAGTGTTCTTACACGATATGTATTTGCATCTGTAAATGTGACTTTTTCAATACATATGCAATTGCGTCTGTCTGTCAAATTCACAGTCTTTATTTAACTATTTAAAAATACGTTCTTTGAAAACGAAATAAACTCAAACTCAGATGATTCTATCTGTGTGTCAGATAAAACTAGAAGTATTTCTATTTCGTATGTAAGTGCAAATCTAATTTGCCTTTACACGATGTGTTGGCATTTCCATATCGTCGCCTGGGTAAAAGATTGTCCTATGTTAATTTCGGCAGATTGTGGGAAATCGCGATTGAATTTTGGAATGCAATTTCTCAAAAACGCTAAGATAGATTTTCTCCAAAGTCTCTGGAAATGTTACTAGTTCACAATTGTTTAATTTTTAATGTTTATTGTTAATTAGTTTTGAGTTTATGAAGGATTTTCTTTAGTAAAATTTTTTCGTAAGCGTCATTTGTCCACAATTTGGCAGCCACTTTGTATGAAATACTAACTAAATTTTTACTAAATTATCGAAAAAATGGTAATCAATATCTCGGAAACTAAAGGAGATATCTAAAAAACTTATAACACCAATCGAAAGACCTTATTTCAAAATATAAAAGTATAAAATGGTGCTTACGACATTCTTTTACCCAGGCGACGATATGTAAAAAATTACATGTATATACACATGCAAATACATATCGTGTAAGAACACCTTTAACGTATACAGTAAGGTACGTTAAAGCACAAACGAAATATTTCTTATTGTTTTTGAGTGATTCGTATAATACTGAGGCACACAGGCATCCACACATACACACACAACTTTATACAAACATAATAAGTTTGAAATGTTAATACGAATCGTTAAATTTTGTTTAACCCCTTAAGACATAATACTCCATTGTGTTTCTTATATACATATGCACAAATGTACATACATATATAACATTGCCGTTCTCATCATAGCTCCACTGCGTCAACTGATACTACATGCTCTTTTTACCCTTCAGCGCCTTCTCTTAACTTTCCACAAAACGTTGTATGATTATGAATTACGTAGCATCTGCAACATCACTTAACGCTTCAGCCGCAACGCGATCAATTGTATTCGCTTTTGTATTGATGTGAAAGTCATGCCGCAAAAAATTGATATCACGTCAAGGAAGTAATAACGGTTTAAAATAAGCTCGACAGAAAATTCTTGCTGCTGAGGGAGGTAAATCCTGATTACGATAGAACATTTTACATTCCTTTTCGGTGAGCTTGTCAAAGACCGCGGCATATTCGCGATGGAATGTGGCCAAATCGACATTGGAACGACCGATGGCCGTAAGCGCTAGAAAGAGTATATCGCGGTAGATGGAGTGTGTTCGATCGACGCCGTTATTTTTTAACTTGTGCCGTTCATTAGCCAAACGTTTGATGGGCGTTGAGAGGTCATTGCAGCGTATTGACGAAATGATTTGTTGAATAACGCTAGGAAGAAAAGAAAAATAATAATATTACACATACATAAATTTGTATTAAAAAATATTTAGTAGAAAGGTTTCATACTTCTTGTTCAAATGCGCTTGGTCGGTAAGCAACGCCTTTAGAAGTGGACTGGCTGGCTGATTTTGTTTGTACAAAATGTACATGGGTGGTCCGGCTTCACTGTGCAATCGTAAATTATCCCATAGACATTGGATGTTCACAGTTTTTACTTTGCTGAGTGGGTCACATTCCTCGTCAGGCTGAAAGTAAGTAAACAACGTTTTTACTGACCGATTTGGCTCACTGAAATTGTGCATATGGAAACTGTGCATGCGAAATAATGCATATATATATATATCGTTATTTAAAGTACAAAACCGCGTATCAACAAAATGCAAAACCGCGCATCAAAATAATGCAAAAGCGCGTATGTGAATTATGTAAATTATCTTCTAGAGAGTAAACACACTCATATTTCAAAATGGTTCGCATACCTGGCCAGTATATTTCAGGACGAATGGATAAGGATAAGAGCTTGTGTGAGCAAATTCAATTTTTGACAGCAAATGTCAGTTACGCGGTTTTGCAGAATGACGATACGCGGTGTTGTACTTTAAAATACGAGATGAAAAAAACCGAAATAATGCATACGAAAAAAACGTAATAATGCATTTATTTATATATGTATGCACAATTTCGTTTGAAAACCGCAATAATACATATTAGAAGAACCAAAATTATGCATATGCACACTTTCGATTGAAAACCGAAATACTGCATATGAGAAAAACGAAGTAATGCATACATGCACAGTTTTGACTTAAAACCGAAGTAATGCATATGGGTCATTCCATGTAAACGAGAAAACTACATAAATTGAAATGTGCCCTAATTATCTCTATTTCAGTAGTATCCTCTTTTTTAAATGACTAAATTTCATAAAAAAAATTAAATGAAGTTTGAATTGTTGTGTAAGGAAACTTTTATTTCATGTATAATTACTTTACACCAGTCACAAGGAGATGTCCCACCAGTCACAACTTGAAATATTTTTAAATATTTCTATTGGGATTATATAAACCCTATTTTTATTGAAAACGAAAGCGTACAATTCATATTTTACAACCCCAAAACATCGTTAGTGAAGATTAGGTGTTATGGCTAAAATTCATATTTGAGTGCACAAGGGTAAAATAGAGTTATTTTCAGTGTTCCAACAGTCACATTCATTCAAATGATAGTAGGGATGAATCGTTACAAGTAAATCCAAGTACCTACTCGATACTTTTCTCAATTTACCAAATACTTTTGTACTCCATACTTTTTACTACGATCCGATGAAGGTATCGAAAAAAGTACTTGTATCGGAAGCGCAAAATTTATTATGCTTCAGCACTTTCTTTGAAAAGCAACTCGTTAGAGGAATGGGAAGATATGCGCACGAAATTTCCGCTGTTATATAAGCAAGCCCGTCTATACATAACGGTAGTCGGTTTTCTCAAAAACAGGTACTACTATACCAAAATCTCGAAACCGCTTTTCAGGAACACTTGGAAAAGTTAATGTTTGTGGGAAATATAACAAAAAATGAGTTCTTTTCTTAAACTCATTTTATATGAAACAAACTTTATCTATTAAACTTGTAAAAAATGTATTCTATTGTTTTTGAAATCAAATACTATACAAAAATAATTGTTGTCTTAAATGTTTGTATGAAAAAATATTTAAAGATAAATAATCTTGTAAAAATGCATATTTTTTGTGAAAAAATACAATACCTTTGAAAAATATGCATCGATACCTTGTTTCATACAAGTACTGATTTAAGTAATACCTTAATAGTATCGATTTATCCCTAAATGATAAACTAAAACAATTGTTTGGTATTTTTGCTAAAGCAATTTTATACATTAGTTATGGTTCTATGTTAAAAAATATCTTTCGTTGTTGTATTAGTTCCGACGACATAGCTAAAATTCACAATTGATCACATTCGGGAGTAAAATGTCCCACCAGTCACAATGGAATGGCCCAATATTAAAATAAACTTTTAATAAATCACAATAAAATTTACACAGTTAATATTTCTTCCTTCTAAAATCCCAAACTGCTGCACCTTTCAACCGGATTATGTCCCACCTTACGTGCCCATATGGTTTTTATTGCAAGCTGTTTTAGTCTGTCATCTAACAGACTGCCTCGCATTTATGAAAGTCTTAATATGGAACCGGATTTCCCCCCTGCTGCGCTTAAAAAGAGCACACCAGTCCCAGACGCATGATCTCTACCTCGACTTAATACCTAGAGGCCCTACCTACTTACTTTAATGATGACTATAGGTACATTATTTTGCAACCGAGCTACAAAAGAACACTCCCTTAAATGACGAAATACACGCAAAGCAACAACACAAACTCGGCTATTTATCCGAGTTCAGACACGTCGGTTAAAAAATACGCGACCTGAAGAGAAGTGTTGTTAAGTGAAAAAATGCTCTATTGTGAATTGTTGATGAGAAAGTAGAGATAAGTTTGAAATGTAGATTTATGTGGTTCTGGTTATATAATGTGCTAGAATTTTATAAAAAAAAAAAAACTATAAACATTAAATAAACAAGAGAAAAAAACCGAAATTGATCGAAATGCCGCTTAACTTAATCAGCTGACCGCAAAGTTATATAAGTAATGGGCGAGTACGCGCTTCCCTTCTCCTCCCCCGCGTCCACCTCAACAAACAAATAAAGCTTATCAGCCCTGCAAACCAGAGAACAGCTTTGAGTATGATCGAGCCTTTTTGATCACACTCACTAAAAATCAAGCACAAGCGAACGCCACACTCGGCTACTATGTGTTCGATCGAGATGCATACCCGACAGCTGCTTTGGTTACGAACGAGTCTGTTCGATCACCCTCGCTATAAATTGAGCACAAGCGAACACCACACTCGGACACCCGCAGCTAACCCGAAAATTTGTGTAACAATGAAACGGACACCCGAACATTGCGATAAAATGCAGGACAACAAAGAAATTTACGCTGAAGGTAACTGGCGCCAATATGTTCCCACAAAGCATACGAAAATGTTGTTGCTTTGTGCTTGTGCATACGCAATGAAAAAAATTAGAAGCGAAGTAGACAAAAATGTGTTTGCATCTATTTCGTATAGTTTCGCGTGGAAAGCTGTGTGTGTATATATTAGAACACAGCCTAAAACTATGTAGGTACATAAATACTTTTACAAAAAATAAATGTGCTCCGAGTGTATAGGGCTTGGGCATTGCCGATCTACACACATTTATACCTAAATGGATGTAGGCGTCGTGATGCCGCATTTTGTATGAGCAAAAATATAAGAAATGGTTAAATGTACACTTAAACAAACTACCGAAAAATTCAACCTTCTCTTTACCCTCTACGCACAAAAACTAAGAGCACCGCGATGAGAAGGCAACATTTTTTGTAGAAACAAAAACGTAATAAGCCAATCAAGAAAATTTTGTGCACACTCGGGTTGAAACTCGAACACCCGGGTATATTGAGCTGCAAAGCACCCGAACCCAATCAAGTATGTATGAAAAGCAATCGGGTGTTGTGGCCAACATGTTCGTCTTGAGCTCAGTCGATAACGAACAATACTTCTGCTCGTATACAGAGAACGATGCAAAGCGGGTTTTGTTAGATGATCGAGTATACACGAAAATCATGCACCCGCTGCAGATGTCTGCTGCAAACCTACCTCTGACAACTGCCCCACCCGTAGATGTCACGGGTGGGACATGCTTCACTGTTGAATTATTTTTATCTAACTATATGGAACCGAAAATGCAATTGTGGTAAACATTTGCAATGAAGTTCTAACATTATATAACAAACCCGAAACACAACTTTAACTTCTGTAAATAAATATAACGACTTTTAGCTTTTTTTGTCACGGGTGGGACTAGGCCTATACTGCTTAATAACAACTTATAATATAGATAAAGCACTCACACAATTTAATATATAACACAATTTTATTAAAAGCAGATGAGTTCTACTATATAATTTTCTTACCAAACACTTGAATTATGAATCGCAAATTATTTGACACACTGTCAACACAACCTTTTTTAAACTCACTCAAAAAGTTTACTTAGAACTGGATTTAAAAAGGAAAAAAATGTAATAAAAATGCATTTAAAGCTTTAATTTGTTATTTTTTGGTTGATTTCCGATTTTTACAAATGTCTTATCTACACATTTGTTAGTTTTATAAAGAAAATAATTTTTGCATTGAGGTTCAGTTTCCCATGGAGCCTCCCATATGTATACAATGGAATTAATAATTCATGTGTCGTTTGTGTTGACATGTATAGATTTGATGTATGATTTGATTTCAATTTATTCAAGAGTGTCTTCATATGTCATTAGGTGTGCACTAGGGATGTCAATCCCGGGATTCCGGGATGTCGGGATCCCGGTCTTTTTTAAGTCCCGAATATCCCGGGATTAGTCGATTTAAATCCCGGGATTGCTGGAAACAATTTTTTTGTTAGCCAATTAAATTTTTATCACAAATATCCCCTCTCAAGGGCAAATTAAGAATTTTTTGTAACCCTTAATGCTATAATTTCTTTAAGATCGCATTACCATCAAAAGAAGGAATAATTTTGCTCCGCTCGAAATGGAATAGGTGATGCACTTATATATTTATTGTTTACTTAAATGTGTTAACGTTTTTATTATTACTTAAATATACTGATAATATCTTAAATTGATCTCAAACCGTGATTAAAAAAATTTTATATAGTTACATAGGCAGTTACTGCTGTACCAAATACAGTCACTTACAAAAATATTTTGCATCGATTTTTTTGCAATATCCAAAATATTTTTCATGGTATTTTTTTGTTAATTAAAAAAAAAATATATAGCTCATTTTACAACAAAAATCATGTAAATCAAAATTTCACACTTTAGAGAAAGTTGGTTCACCAAAATAGTTCAATGTTCAAATAGTTCACCAAATTATCATAAAAATATCAAAATTTTTAATCATAATTTTTACAAAAAATTCCATTATGCAGTTTTATAGCCCATTCAATTTAATACAATAAAGTGCACTTTTAAAGTTACTAAAAACTCCCTTGATTTTTGAATTGTTTTTACTGATGTTGGGCATTTTCTTCCTTATAACGAATTTTTTTGTAGCAAAAAAAAAAATATAAAATGTCGACGGGATGTTTTCGCAACTTCAAAATTGCACATACATATGTATTTTT